TGTGATCATTAAAAAATTGGTTCTCTCATACATTCAATGACTACAAAAATGTCAATGTTGGCGAACGTTAGGCAAAGCAGAACCGGGCGAGGCTAGTGTGTCAATGTGTCTTTTCCCCTAGGAGTTCCCCGGCAGTTACAAAGTGTTGATAGGGCCTGGCTACCTGTTAGACTGCTGCCCCAGGGCCACTCAAATGTAAGAATTCGGGCCTGACTATGCTCAGAAGCTCCCAGCTGTTGCCCCGTTACCGCTCGCTTCTTATTAGACCAATTACAATAGCGCTTCAGTCTCTCCCCTGGCTGGGGCGGTGCTCCGCTGATGGGAGATACCTGGTTAGGGAAAATGCGCAAGCCAACGAGTAAATCGGTGCCGGATCTCGCCGACCAGCAGAGGAAGATCACCGCCAGCTCTCGCGAGAAACATGCCCTGCACTTACGGGACTAATGAACATGAGATATGGTACATCAATCTATCAACCGATCCCCGAAGTCTCTTTGTGCTAGGCAGTTGCCGCGGAAGTTAGGACAGCGATCGCGCTTTGAAAACAGTCGAGGTCAGGGACTATCTTGCGAACAGGCAACATGCTCCATAGCTGTCCTCGTGTACACGGCACCGCTGGAGCAGATCCAGACCGACCGCATCTGAGAGTTGGCTCTACTGATGATGACCCAGTCGCTCGTACAGCTGCTCGGAAAATGTCGCCCCGACGAGTTGTAAGGTACAGCGTGTTCAGTGGTAGGATCAATGTTTATTTTCCACTCAATATACGAGCACGGCGCCAGAAATAGCGGTTCAGTCCCCCTCGGCCTTCACTGGAAAATCTCTATACGCGTGGATCACCCAATACAAAGAACGCCCATCCCTCGAGCCAGCGAGGAAAATTAAATTTACACACGAACGCGGTCAGGTTCACATGTGTATCCAATTCAAACTTTTCAGGCGTGATGGTTACTCGATATACCCACGTATTTAAAATATCATTAATTCCTTGTTTAGATTTAGTATTTTTAACGAGTATAAAAATGAATCTTAACTTTTTGACCGACCTTGCGCACATTTCTCTTACTATTCAATATTTCGGCGATAAGTAAAGACTTTTGAAAAGTCTTTTTTTAATACCGCTGTCAAAATATTATGCTCACATTTCTTATGTAATCTTAAGGCCACTTTCAATTAATCTAAGAGCCCAACCGCCTGAATGCTTGTTCAGTGAGAAGATTTAGTTTTCTGCATGTACAGTTCTCTACACTGTATAAACCACCCTGTGATTGTTATTAAACATTTTAATTAATGTTTGTTGTTCATTATTTAATTTAAAAACTTAAGAAAATAATTTCCCATCTCCAAACTCTTCCCATATATGAGTAGAACGCGCATCTATAAACGAATCATTAATTTCTACCATTGTTTAACATTTTCTCAGTAAATTCGACTATTACATTAACTTTCGTTCTGCAAAAAAATTCACAATATGATGTAATCGTACAGATATTCAATGAGAACATTTGGAAATACCTTGTTGAGTCAGTCATTGAAACGACTCAATCTACAGTTTCATTATAACAAAATGTTCTTGTTTCAATTTCAGTATTGGGGACGTAATAAGATAAACAAAACATTTGTATGTCCCTATGTTTTGATGAATATTTATAATACCTTCGGCCTCTTAGGCCCTGGCAGCAGATAGTGAACAATATTGTTTATATTTGTAGAAATGTATACCTTTATAAGACAAGCTCACACATCATGACTTAATGTTAGTGGTATTAGCGCCAAGTTGGCAAAATCCAGACATGGTAGCAGCTCAGGCTGAATGTAGCGTTGTAAGATTTGGCTGGAAGTGGTAGCCACGCTGATGGACGCTGGCGGCTTAACTTCTCCTTAAGGTCAGTGCCAGTCCGTGTCGAATGATTTTTCTGAGCTCTAACTATTTAACTCCTGCCAATAAACGCTTTTGATATTTGACCTCTGTGAATAAACTGATAATTCGGAAAATCTAAAACCTAACTGAGAACAGAAGGTCAGTCTTGCCGTTCATTTAACAGAGTTTCTAACGTAAATAAATATAACATTTAATTTACATATTGTTATGTTACTATGGAAGCAATCAATTCACGAGTGTATTGTTTATTGAGAACTAACAAGTGGACATTCTTCTAAGCAGTTATGACAATGGTTTATAATAGGTGAGACCCGCTTATTAAATGAGTGAAATCTGGCATGTGTTACTTTCCCTTTCATGAATTTATAGAGGTTGCAGATTTTCATGATTCTTGATCCTACAAAATAATTGCATTACCTCTCACTCTATAAAAACATTTTGACATTTTTCTTCAAATGAAATGTATGACGATGCAATATATACGAAAATATATGGAGCGTTGCCGCCCCTGCTTAGGATACACGGTAGCTTCCCCCCCCCGACATTGAAGACACTTCTTGTAATTTTCCTCTTCATGGCATTCAATTTTCATCATATTGTAGCAATATCTGTGTAAACTAAATCCTTTTGAAACCAGGCAGCGCTCCACGAGCCGGTGGAGCTCTCCCAGGAGTGCTCACTGTCAGGCTATTGGCACTATTTCTGCGATTTCTGCGTATATTCTTTGACCCTGTGCTTCAACACAACGCCTGCGGTGCGACATCCAGGCTTCTTCCCTGGGTGGGAGATGTGGGCACAGAGTACGGCGCGGGTGTACCAATACTCTCTCTTCGTCCGACACTAGCTGCAACTTCATCTTATGAATTTCGCGTGTTATTGAAAGTACACAAGTACAGTAATTATTGACGGTATTGAATACATTGTTTATGATGTTAAGAGAATTTATTTTCATATTAGATTTGTGGATTCAAAATGTAGATTTGATGAGTTATTTGTGTAAAAGACTCGTGGCCGTTCTTGAAGAAAGTCTCTTTCTGCCTCTCGCAGAGGTGACTACAGTGTTGACTATAAGTGTCAATTACAAAATACGTAGTAAGTTTAACGGAACTACCACAGAGAGTTACTAAAAGTAAAGATATGAAGTATTTATTGCCTATCAAATTGTTTAGTTAGTACGTGTATTAACTAATTTTGTTGCAAAAGCGCATGAGGATTTTTGAGAAAACCGCTCTCAATTATCACTGGAAATAGAAGTTATTACATTTAATTACGTAGTGCATGCACTTGCAGCCCACTTAATCACGTTATCTTAGCTGTTACTAAGTTTAGAATAAAAAAGAAGTAATAGTTACCTTGTGAACCACTATGCAAACTTCACCACTTTTTGAATAGCACGACGAGCAAACTAATGAAAAACGTATACTATGTACTTAATTTCAGAGCTTCACCACCAAATCCTAATCCTAATACAACACCTCTCTTTAAACGAATGTTTTATATTGTGCCCCTAAAATTCATGGAAATACTGGAATGAAAAAGATGTTGAGACTTACCTCTGCATTAATGCGAAACGATCATTTTACTTAATTTCCACTACAAAGTTCGAGATAATCCTTGACATAATAATTGATGCATCGTAGCCTGGTGGCGTTGGTTGCAATGAAGCACATGGTGGCATTACCATAGTAGACTTATCATACATCAATAACTCTGTATTTTCAAAGTCGTAGTTTGCAAGAAGAGAATTTAGTTTCCAATCTCAAATAATTTAAAAAGTGATTTAAAATGACAAATGAAAATCAAGAAAAAAAATCATCGAAGTTGGTTAAGAGATTCTCTTGTAGGAAAAGCGACAGAATTAAATGCAACGTTATCAATATGATGGTGATGATTACTTGAAGTTAACTCATTCAATTGCGACATATTGTTTCTTTATTGTTATAGTTGTTTTTTAACTTTTATCGAGAGTAGAAATAAATGCTGAAACACTAAGTTTTTTTTATTTTAATTTTAACCTTTTATTGAAAGATTTTCTACAAAATTCGCAAAACGTTTGAATCTCAATTTCAAGCGGTATTACGTCTCTGTACGACGGATTCCCTATACCAAAAATAAGGCAGGCAGAAACACACCAAAACACAAGTGCTGCTACAACAGCACATTCTTGCTAGGAATATTGTATAATTCATTTACAATATGTGACAATTTTTCGTACACTTATACTACCATTTGAAAAATTCTTTATCAAACGACGCGCGAATTTTTTTTTTTTTTTCAAATTCAAATGTTTAAACGAAAACCATTTCCGTTAACGAATTCAGGGTATTCATGTACCAAATAAATGTTCCAACTATGCCCGATGCGTATTTTA